TCTTTAGTCTATGATTGTTAAATTTATTTCTACAGGCTGTGAAAAAGAAATGGAGAGAGCAATTGTTACAGATTAAGAACGAATAAAAATACTTTGTTTTGTCTTTTTTAGGGTTCCGTATTTTACAAGTAGGGTAATATTAAAATGGATTAGTCATTTCCATAACTAAGCTTTTACTATAAACTATTTTTTATTTATTTTTGTCCAAACAAAAACAGAATCATAAAAAACAAATGGAAGAGGATAAGTTAACTGAACTCTTCACTGTTCTCTTCCAACCTCTACTAAAATGGTAAAATGATCTAATCAGTAAAACTAAAAGGAATCCTTATCATCAGAACCAATCTAGTATTTATGCAGACAATGGAATAGAATAAGATGGAAATGAAAAAACTATTTTTAAAAGGATCAAGTTCCGATCAATTTTAATTTAAGATTCAAAGAGAGTTCTAACGTTAAAAAAAAATTAAAACTAAGAATAACTTGCAATCTAGTCAAGCGTGAGACCACTTAAGTACGAAAACATAAAAAGGCGAGCTCAAAGTTGTAGACATTCTATTTTCGTATTTTTTTTATTTTTGCAGCGCTAAATGAATGGGAATTGCAACTTAAACGTTTTAAAGAAGAAACGCAGCGAATATTAATAACTTTTGATCGACTGAAAGACGAGTTGAGTAACTACCAAGAACCTAACTACAAAAATCAAGTTTTATTGCAAAGTTCCTATAGCCACCTTCCGGCTCCATCATCAGATCAGCTCCATGTCATCTTAATAAATATTACATTCTCATCCGACTTACACATGCATGCAAAATTTCAGCTCAAAAGAAACAGGGAAGTAGGTCAATTTTAAGTTGCAAGATTTGACGACTTAAGATGTCAAAGAAAATAAAAGCAATGGCCTAACTACAAAAATATAGAGAATATAGACAAATAAATAAGACGTAGAGAAGCGATCGGAATTGCACCTGTCACCTACGTTACTTTGTCTAAAGCCCCAGGCTCAAAAGCAATAAGCGTCATCCAATAGTAGTTCCTTCCATGCTTTTCTCAATGGTAAAAAAAACCTTCCAGGCCTTTCTAAAGCCCGGTAACACAGTGTACCGTTCAGTGACGGCAGTGACAGCCCTTTGCAGGCCTTTGTACATTTTTGTTCCCTCTCTATTCCTGGTTTTGACGTCTGAAGTACAAAAGATGGGAAACTGTTTCCCACAAAGGCTTTTATTAGACACACTATCGATTACATGTTCATTATAGAGCTAATATAAGTAAAATTTGATCGTTATTCACGACGTATTCATTTCACGAACGGAAAATCTTTTGCCTAAATTGTTTTGTTTTTGTCAATATCAGTTCGTTGCTCCCCACACTTGGCAATCGAAATAGAATGAGCTGACACATTTATTAAATTTTTCAAGGCAAACTTCTTTATTTTAATCCTGAAAACCCAAGAGTAAAGTTGTTTAAATACTACATCCATTCCAAATCCATTTCTTTACAAAATCTATAAGTATTAGGAGAATCGCGTTTTATCAGCTCTATGTTTTTTTTTAATTTGTAGAGTCAACTGTTTTACTGTCTTTCAGGTTTAAGTTTTAACGAACTTAGGGCTGATTTTTCAACGTCAAAAGTTATTCATATTAAACTGAAGAATAAGTTGGCACATGACAGTTTCAGTATGGGAAATATGATTATGAAAGATTTTAACCTCGAAGATTTGGTTGGTAATGAACAAGCAAAACGGCACAATTTAATTATTTAGGGAAGCGACATCTTCCAGACAACCCAGAAGACGGTAGTTAAACAAGACAAGATATTAATTAACGTTAAACTTTAACAAAGACGTAACACATGATATGGGTCACGGCACAGTCTCTTCATTGTTTACGGTGACGCAGCGGTATCGCGTTGCATGTCACAGGGGCATCATGTAAACTTATACTTTGTAGTACAGACACGACATCACATCAAGCTTAGCACTGTGTCATCTTATGTACTTGTAATAAATGCTACTACTCGTACACGGGCTGGAAGACGTAGCGTGGGCAGGCCTTCTACTAAGTGGACCGACGATCTGGTACAGGTCGCGGGAAGAGCCTGGATGCGGGCAGCGCAGGACGTTTTATTGTGGAAAACCTTGGGAGAGGCCTTTGTACAGCAGTGGACGTCATTTGACTGAAACGAACGAACTCGTACACAACTTTAAGACTGAGTTACACCACAGTAACTATAACCCTAACCGGCGTTTTTCGTATGGAGTTTGACAGACTTTTGACGTTTGTTAAAGTTAAAGTAAGATGGAGCAACTTGCATGATAGTACCTATAGTATTACACCCTGCTTATCGAAAGCATACTAGCTTGTTATCTATAATATATAAAGCTCGTTATACATATGTATAGTGTTTACATTAGTTTTATTCAGTGAAATGACTTACAAATATCAAAGCACTGATTTTCAGGAATTAAACCAGCTTACGAGTAGGTACCTATTTCAATCAAAATTTTCGTCATGAAGGCATTCCATAAAGTACATAGTAATTAATCCTCTGGGAATTTATTAATAGCCTCATATCCTACAACATTGTAATATTTTCTAGGTTATTACATATTCGTAGTACAGTCAGCATCAAATAGTTCGTGACACCCAAAGCAGCCAATAAGTTTGGAACACGTCTTTGTTACAATTGGAATAAGGTTGTGTTATCAACTTTTTGTCCACTTTGGGTGTCACCAACTATTTAACTCTGGCTGTACTATCAATAAGCTATTTATATATCAATATATTCCATCTGTGCCGTGTAATATAATCAGTTTAATAAGAAGGCTTCTGGCTTAATAACTACAGCCTGCGGTTTTCACATGATACAGTAAATAATAAATCACCGCCTACTTAAGGAGAAGGCATTTGTCAAAAAACATTTATTATTTTTAGGATTATCTACCAAAATACATCGTTCGTTCGTTTCAGCCAAATGACGTCCACTGCTGGACAAAGGCCTCCCCCAAGAATTTCTATAACGACCGGTCCTGCAAAACACAATACTTGTTTAAAGTTTCAAATCTACTTACTCTATCTGCCTTATTTTTGCTAAATAAAAACTGTAAAATAAGAGACTAATATAGAATTTTCTTTCACAATTTTTCAAGTAGGTAAGTAAATACATATCCTTTTTATAAGGGAAAATAAACAAGTTCAGCGAAAGACGTCTGATTAAAAAACAACCTGCAAAAATTGCATTAAAATTAAACCTTCTTTCACAAAATACAATTTACTCCTTGGAAGGTTTACAAATCTGCATAATCATCCCGTTACAAATTCAAAGTCATTTGTATTACGCCGAATACAAAATACCTGCGATAAAATTAATAAAACCTGGGGTTAATGAGTTCAGAACTTGAGAAGCTGTGCTAATTTTTGAATAAATTATGAAGCTGAAAAGTATTTGTTATTAAAATTCTTCAAATACTAATTGTGGTTTGACCTACAAGTAGGTACCTACATTCTGCTATAAGAAAAATATGTATAAAGCCTAAGACTAGGCGCAGACCACCGATTTTTAGTTGGCCGATAGTTGTGCCCGATTTTAAATTGTATGAAAAATCGGCCAAATCAAATCGGTGTAATGTGCGCACTTCCATACATGCCCAATGCCCATATTGCCCATACTGATCAACTGCCGGACTAAAAATCGATGGTCTGCGCCTAGGCTAATTGTATTAAAAAAACTATTTATAGTATATGAAATATATAACAATTAACTGATTACTGTAATCAATTTGAAAGATTACGTAATGAGGAGTAATGACTCTCAGATTTCTCTTAATTGGAAATTATCTGTATCCTTTTCTACCAACCTTTATAAGATTTTCGCTTTTATAATCTTGGGAAAATTTCAGGATAACGTAAACGTATAGTAATATGAGTTTTCCCCAAGCAGTTTGTTTAACCAGCCCCTTAAACATGGTATAAATTAGATATGATCTTTGTCCCATATTCGACGCGCCTCGCCGCGCTATAAACGGAGGCCCCGGCTTTGCGTGGATTGCCTGGATTAATTAAGCCAGAGCAAACCCCGCTGTAGCACGTTGTCGGTGTGTTTGCTGAGGCAGGATTTCGAGTAATTTATTGGTTGTCTGTACATTATACATACCTACCATAAAATAGCTGTGTGTGAAGGTCACCCTTTTCATTGACATAATCCACCTTATTAATAAAAAGTTACACACTAATTAAGAGTTTAAACTCTGATTTAAAGTGACATTTCCATACTAAACGTCACTTTAAAACAGGATTCAACTATTGTAACTTTTGTTAATAATAAGGGGAATATGTATTAGAATTTTTGTGGAAAATACAGAGTGTCAATTCGTCTGAACCTAAACTGAATGATCAGATCATAGATAGAGTAGAAAGTGTATGTGAAGCTCTATAAACAACTCATAATTTTTAATCCAAGTAATTAAGACTATTACAGTTTGGAAAATGCCTAATTAGGTATAAAGTTGATTTTCCTCGCTAATTTTAATACTATCTTAGGTCCTATTTTGGCTTAAAATGTCTGGTTGTTATTTTAAATTTTAGTACGTATATTTCAATACACACTTAGGACGTTACCGCGTCATTACCGTTATGAGAGTCTTGAGGACTGATAAGATTATGGATGAGATGGAGATAACGAGATATAGATGGGCATACCGCTTAATCAATTCAAAATTCATTCAGATTTCAACTTGCTGTCGATTCTTCCTTTTTATTATGAAAATCTGACGTCAAATATTAGCTTTCATCGTCATCATTTCAGTCAAAAGACGTCCAATTCTGAACATAGACCTCCTAGCCAATGAATATTCAGATATAGATCCAGTTTATTCTGTAACCTATTTATTGACATCGTTTGATAGAGCTCGTGAAGCACTTTTAGGATCAGTAAACAGTTTTTCTGTATAGTTTAGAAATAATCGAGTGAGTTCACTTATCGTTTCCACCCTGTATACTTACTTGAGAGTGGAGTATGCAGACAGCGCACAGCAAGGCGAGACTGCACACCAGTGTGACGCACAGTGCTGATACGAATAATGCATGTTTCAGTCGCACGCAGTACCGACGGTACAGCGCTTCTAGCTCCAACTCTGTGCCCTCTTCCTCTGTGGACAAGAGAAATGAGGTGTCAGACATTTTTTTTGTGCTAGACAAGGCAGGTATTTGACCGCAATCGCACCTGGTGTTAAGTGAGATGCAGTCTAGGATGGTACATATCTGCCCTGTAAGTGCCTATTCACTCTCGCCTTGAAAACGCCCGGATTATAGTGTTCAGGAAATACAGCAGCAGGCAGCGAATTCCAGTCCCTAGCTGTTCGCATATTGTGTGCCACAAAATACCTGATAGACAGATGACCTTATAAAGGATGCAGGAAAGCGCTGAATGCGAGCGCTTCCAACCGGCCTATCTGGAAATATTGAGGGAAACCTACGTTCAGTAGTAACTAAACGTTGGTTACTTAACTAGTCTACCGATGTTAAAATAAATGCAAAGTTGTTAAGTCGCGTCTCGACTTTACTTAGGCTGGGTTGCACCATCTTACTTTAACTTTGACAAACGTCAAAAATCTGTCAAATTCCATACAAAAAACACCGGTTATCGTTACAGTTACTGTTAAAGTAAGGTGGTGCAAGTCAGCCTTAAACTTATTTTGTTTAGTTTTTCACGTATAATGTTTTGAAGTTGTTTAGTAGTCAACCTATTCTAAATGCCGTAATGCCGGATCTTTACTTAATACGATTTCAATTTTCATAGTATTTTTAACGGTAATGGATTAGAAACCAATTAAAAACATCTGACGACGTCTCTTTTCATTAATCATATTAAAAAAGAATGGCTTTTAATTTTAGGCACTATCACAATCACGGAACCACCCCATCAGCTAAATTGCGGCGTCCTTGAAGTCGCCGTTAAAACAATTAGACAAATGAACGTGATAAGTTATACTGCTGGTCGCGGGCAATTAGGGAGCTTGCCTTGTAGCAATCAATGGAGCGAGTCAAGTGGTTTAGTTGATGTAGCGACAGCGGTATCATTTGAAGATTTGACAGACATTTTCATTGGAACTGATTGTTTGTAATAGCTTTGGAATAATAGAGGTGCATCTTGCGGGAGGCAAGGCAAATAAGTAACTGAATGAAGAAGTTTTGTGATGTTGAAAACATTAGATTTCACTGAATGGGATTAAAATATAGACCAAAACTAAAAAGCCGGTGAAGTTATTTTTAAAATTTAAATTACCTACATATTTTCGCGTGGAACTTAAATATAGGCGGTGCCGTGACGTCACGCCACCAGTTCAAGTTTCAATCACAATACTTACCACCCCTAACGCATTGTCAAGAATGACACTATAATGTCAAAGTCTTCTTTTTCTTTTTAAATATGGTCAGGTCTTAGATATGTCAACAAAGGTTACACGATTTTACAAAGAATCTTGAGTGACCCTGGCTGAAAAATTAGAAACAACTAGATTTTTTTTTAAATTGGATCTGTCAACAGCACTGGACCAGACCCCTAGACAAAACGCACTTTTTGATCGAATCGAAAATCGAATCCGTCAAAACTCCATACAAAAAAGGGGCTGTTCGACCACTTTTCGACTGGTTTGCGATTATAATTTGCACTTTGTTTAAACCCACAGGGGTGATTTACTGTTTTTACCACGAATGACTGTCGTGACTACACCGATCAAAATGGCGCGAATATTTGTTATGCGCAACTTTAGGGCCCTGTAACTTTTGTATTTGTAGGAGATTTTTATGATTCTTTCACAATTATTATTAGTGTTACTTATATTTTCAAGAATTATTAAAAGGAAAAAAATTGGAAACTTGTCCATTAGAGGAACGTTAGTTATTGTAATGAATCATTATCCAATAACCTATTTGTATTTAAAAGAGTTTCGTTTCAACCTAATGCCGTCCACTGCTAGAAAAAGGCTCCCCCATTTATTTGTACAACGACAGGTCCTATACGGTTCCTACCCAGGTGTTCCCCGTGACCTTCACAAAATCGTCGATCCACCGAGTGGCCAGTGGGCGAGTGGGAGGCCTAGTGCCTACACTTCGTATTTGTTACTTGAGAACTTTTCGAAATATGTATAAACGGTACATATTTTCAAATAAATTAATCATATAGATTTATTAACAATACTTAGCTTAAAATAATAGCCCGTAACCTCATTGTACAAATAACAAGATGTCTTGTATTTGTAACAAAAGAGTCATAAACCTTTACTCGTGCTTATCTATTAACAAAACCTCGAAGCTGTATGGAGGGTTTATTCCAAACAATCCTGGTTCAGATCCACATTGAGTCCGCCCACACTCGTAAGCGCCTTACTTACCATAATGAGAAGATAAATCTCATTTTGAGTCTAGGGAAATAATTAATTTCTAAAAAGCTTGGCTTAGATAGCTTGCGTAATGTCTGGCCTACACTAACGGGTGGAAAATGGTTTGACTAGGCCGAATCTAAGGCTCTCCTAACTATAACAGTCATTATTAGAGCTTAAAGGACCTCTAAAATGGTTATCTCATATACAGGGTGTTAGGTAAATGGGTATATGAGCCGACACTAGCCCATGTTAACATAGGCATATAAATGGTATGGTAAAATCAGAAAATTGATATCTTCATTTTAATTATTTTTATTTTCATACAAATCGGATTTTAGAAAAAAATTTTTGTGTGAATATTAAAAAAATTAAAATGATCATATATTATCAAATTTCTGACTCACAATAAATTAGATGCATACCTTCTGCGGCTAGTCCTTTCCTTTCCATCCCAGAGCTTGTCTTTCCTTAAAATTGTAACCGCCTGGTGTGCTAATTTGACCCAGGCCTCTCCCTGGCTAGTTTCATATAGTATCGATTCCAAAAGATAATATCGTTCATAAACATTAATGTACTATTACCGTATTAACCATATTGTTCAGTTCCATCTATCAACCTTTTTAATTCCGCGACATTGGTCTGACCTTTAGATTTATTTGTAACGACAACAAACATCACTTTAACAAGATCTTTCCTATTGACCCAGACCCTTAAAAATGGATTGTACACATCGTTAATTTCGTCTCTCCGATAAACTTACAAAAGGATATAAAAGTTCAGAAAAGATTCATCTTGATATGATAGCAAAATAAAAAGATAATGATGATCCTTAGGTAAAATGATTTAAGGATTATTTTCCGTTTCTTTTCTAAATTACAATTCACCAGTTTTTCAGCGTGAAAAAAAATAAACAGTTGTTATTTGCTCAAGAAGTGTCAACAAGTTGACGATTCGTTCGACAGATCACTGAATTAGTTCAACTAATCACAGGAGTTGACAATCCTTTATCAAGTTATTTAAATTTTGCTCGTCGCTCGAACTCTTTCATTGTTAATGAAGACTAATTTTCAGACATAAATTAGAGGAAAAGTAAGATTGTCACTTAAACTCCGTGCCAATAGCCTATTTTGCAAAAAATAATGTGCCTGTAGACTCTTGAATGTTTAAATGAAATATTGAATGGAGTTACGACTAATCGTCTTGAGCAAGGGAGTCCTAGATTTGATGCCCGATCGAGTACCTACCTATTAAGTAATTAGAGCAATCTCTATTAAAAATCTATAAACATTGATTATTTTGATCATATCTTTGACCCATAGTCATAGTATAATCGAAGCTCACATCGTTCCAAGAAACTTGATATGGTCTGATGTCACCGTCGTACGTCGTTAGTCAAATCATCAATATTGGGCAAGGCAATTGCTTGTAGTATCTCAAAGCATAGACGAGCAAAGGTAAACATTGTGGCTTCTTAAGTACTTGTAATAGACTTGCAATAAATTATCCGATGAGCTGTACTACATAGGTAAATAGTAGGATCGCAAAAATCTTTTAGAAATAAATATCCTTGGACATTTTTACACTGCTGCACCCCTAGTCCCAAACAAAGCAAAGCAAAGCAAGCTTGTAGGTACTATGGGTACTAGATACTAGTAATATCAAACTTATTTCTTAATCTCCTGCAATAAATCTCCTAATATCAGTTCTAAGCTCTCATTTTTTCTTGCCAGCTTTACTTACCTTCCTTACTTATTAGTAGACCATATGATACATTAAATTATGTTAATTAATATAATACATTAATTATTACATCATGGTGATGCAAATAAATATCTATCTCTATCTAAAAGGAGTAAATCTTGTAAGTAATTAAAATTAAGTATACGACCAATCATTCCGAAAGATATCTGCGATACTGCGAATATAAACACGTCCACAAATAATTGAACCTAACGTTGGAATGGATAAAAGAATCAATTGACTTTCCATAGAAAATATTGGCGAGTAAAAAACCCGTAAACCGTCCACAAAGAATGTCCAACTAAAATATTTTGCGACATGTTCCTGTCATTAACGACGAAAGGGACCTTCGGGGTTTTAGGGCAGGCACATCCCACAGTGAACAGCCAGATCAATTACCGAATTAGAAAGTGGTAATAATAATCATCACAGGATAGGAAATTTCATCAAAGAATACTGAACGGGTCAAACTTCGTCTAACTCCTAGTATGTTCTTCTGATTAATTTCGTTGCGGTTCCAATGACAGTTAACTTTCCCCCGGGACAAACTTGACCTTCAATGGTTGGGTTTTTATTGGCGGTCAAGCTGTAAATCCTGGCTACACAGGAGTTGCAGTGGTGGGAACGAGAGGTGGGAATAGTCCCGTGAACAGTTCAAGTTGGATACGGTAACAAACTCTTTCAGAATTCAACATTAAATTCTTTACAATTCACACACATAGTAAAGTTTGAAGGCAACGTCGTCCTATGAACATATTATTATACTTAACTGTTTGTGCTATAGCCTCGTATGTTTGAACTTTTTACGAAATTAAGGCAGGTTATTTCCAAAATAGGCCGTTACGAATGGCCTTTTTCCTATTCACGTTTGGCGTTAAATATTTATAGAGTTAAAAGCATATATTTTACGTTAAGAGCCTTATTTAGCTGAAGTAAAAAATGGAAAAGGTTTTGGTAGTGCTAGATTGCTCTTTTGAGCCTGGAAAGCTTCTCCTAAATCAGTAGTCTAATATTTGACTTTAATACGTCCTTAAACCTACTGGTAAACTGAAGCTAAATAACGCTTTAACGTACTTAATAGTTCATTAGAGCGTATTAAAATTAAGGAGCCAAATGGAATTAATATTGAGATTTAATTAGATTACGTATTCATTACATTAATATATTATACGAGTAATTAGAAGCACTTAATTATCCAGACGCTATCATTTAATCTAGATAGAGATTAATTTAAACTCTAAGCATTATGTAAAAAAATACCCTGTTGTTATGTATTTTTACACCATATTGAAGACTCCCCACGAAATACAAGGAAACAACAAAATCATTATCGATATACACCCAAAAACAGGGCATTCCTCCAAATCCAAGTTAAGTGTTCGCTCCGAACGTCATCATGCAACGTATCCCGCAGTTCCAATCACTCGATAACTGCCATAAAAGCATTAATAGATTAAACACATCATACAATACGCATTCCCCTATTGTTACTTCATTTCGATTCACCAACTGAAGACTCCCCACAAAAATACCATCGATATACACCCAAAATCAGGGCATTCCTCCAAATCCAAGTTAAGTGATCGCTCCGAACGTCATCGTGCAACGTATCCCGCGGTTCCAATCACTCGATAACCGCCATAAACGCCATTATCTCGTAAATAACGCGAGTAACCCCGCGCCAAACAAACGGATTGACGGAATTGCGTTTCGTGGATCGAGTTTGTTGGACATATGAAGCGAAACGATAGCGTTTTTTTTGTTATACCTAATAATTTATTCCATCATCGTCATCAGGTCATTTATGCCACCATCAATCCTTATTTTTAAGTGACACCTAGGGGAACACTTAACAGGCATTTTGTTTTCATTAGGTTCACTTATAAATTAGGGGTTGAAAACGGGCATTAGTCTCCTGCCACTACACTCCGAATAACTTATTACCTAATTAAAGTTTATTAGCCCAAAATCCGCACAGTAACATAATATAAAAATTACCCAGAAAATTGCTCCATATAAACGGTTATACACAATCAATTACGTTATTCCCAAGAAACGAATACTAATATCCGAATCAATACGAATAGGTCCTACAAGTTAGCTAAGTAGAACTAAGAAGTTAGCTAAGTAGAACCTACAAGTTAATAAGTTCTACAATACAATACAATACAATAAAATAACATCCATGAGATAAGCCAATATTCACCCGGTTAACTTGATAGAGTTGGGCCTACAATATATCGTTGGGATAATAATATATCGTAACAAATAATAACTCTAAATATAATACATCAACATTTAATTTACTATGTTTCAGCACAAAAACCTTTTTTTTCGTCAGGAACTGCATCAAATTGAATACCCACTAGCCCGGGGGAGAGGGTTATGTCATATGTGTGGCTCTATCTACCAGAGGGCCTACTCACTAAACCTGACGGTTTCCAAATTCTTTGGGATAAATCTGCGACTTATTATCCGGGCTAAACGGCGTAGAAACAAAAACCTATCTCAAACATAAATCACATCTATAAATAAATCCAACTAATATACAAATATACAAATATACAAATAGCTGCTCACTGGATCGGAAACCTAATATTTTAGTTCCACGGTATCATCCGGATACTATTTACTAAAGCATACATGGAATGAAGACGTTGTCTATTCTTAGACGCCTCAGATTGGTAGCTGCATGAGTGATCAATTACTTGTGGGATTATTTTATTTTAAAGATCATTTTAGACAGAAAGGTATTTACTTTGATAAGGTTTTTTTTATTCAAGTACAATATGGTTGGTGGTAGACCTTGTTCTAAGTCCGCCTGGGTTACCTAAATCTGTCGTCATAACAACAATGTTAGTGTGAGGTAGTACATCTGGGGTGTAAGCGAGAATTCCAGGTGATACTCGCTTAAAACTTCATGAGACACATATTAATGTCTAGCCCGAAGTTATGTCGCTCATTACACAAAGAAAAAGGGATTAAAATGGAGCATTTAAAACGATGGTTGTGGAGGTCAAGGTTTATCGTCGACATGACCGTAGGACGGCGACGGCTAATCCTCATCTTACCCAAGACCCTAAATGAGAGGGTTCGGCTAAGAACTTACGGCGCGATTTTCACCCGCGCCCGAAGCTGTTGCGGGCCCGCAGCTTCTGTAGAATGCACATACTTATGTAAAAACTAATGCACAACTCACAACGCGGTTTGCGCCCGCAGTGTGCGCTGTTATAAGCGGGTCCCGCTGCACCGGTGGGCAACTAGTAGACTAGAATCGCGCGCGCGGGCCTCACTAACTAAATGAGAGGGTTCGGCTAAGAACTTACGGCGCGTTTTTCACCCGCGCCCGCGGCTGTTGCGAGCCCGCAGCTTCTGTAGAATGCATATACTTATGTAAAAACTAATGCACAACTCACAACGCGGTTTGCGCTCTCAGTGTGCGCGGTTGTAAGCGAGTCCCGCTGCACCGACGGGCAACTAATAGACTAGACCGGCGCGGGCCTCGGTAACCGCAGCCTCTGCGATTTGCGCTCGCACGCTGTGCGATCAATTGGCGGCGCATCTTAGCCCTGCTGGACCTCAACTGATCATTAATTGCCCGTCTTGCGATCATCTCCCGCCACGTTTGCGAGCGATGATCTGGAGTTTAGAAATAACCACAACCGCCGCGGGCGCGGGTGAAAATCGCGCCGTGAGTTCTTAATCGAACCTCGTCTTCTTGTAAATACTGACTCATGCGAAGGCCGAAGGAATCCCAATACGGCACGAGATTATTGGACACATCTAGAATTAAAAGGCTCTGTCTCGGTGTATAAATGGAGATAATCAACTTAATACGGTCAGAAACTGATATCGTTATTCCCTTTTATATTTTTGGTTCAATGATTGTATTGAATGGAATGGAAGTGTTCAATATTAGGACTAAATAGGTTCATGAACGTTCCACCAAAGAGCCCTAACATGCCTCAACTGAACATAATATAAAAAGAATTAATAAATAGGCCGGTTCCCTTTCTATTGATACAACGTTCCAAGCTTTATTAACGTAAGATAATATTGTAAGTATAATAATATCTCCACTGTAACTTAGTATTGTATCCCTGGGTAAACAGAAAAATAAATTGATCTGTATGACGAAGAAGGACAACCTTTCATGCTTTATAAGGATTTTTCTTGGAAACTGGAAATTAATTAACAGCACACGTGTTAGGTCCCTAAGCTGTATAAATACTCCTTACGTACGAGTATTACGAAACTCTTGTTTTTGCACATTTACAAGGGGGCCGTCCATATATTACGTCATTCTAAATTAGGGGGGGGGGGAGAAATGACGATAGGATGATTGTAGGGGGGGGGTCTAAAATCTGAAAAAATCGATGACGTAATTTATGGACGGCCCCAAGGGCTCCATAACAAACGTGATGGAAAAGGAATTGATTGTTTGAAGTTCTTTAATCGTTTCAATGAAGAATAATAAAATTCCTCTTCTACTCGCCTACCATGCGTGTTGAGTGTAGATAGGCCAAATCCTCAATTTTCCTCAGATTAAACAAGGTGGACCGAGGACCTCATAAAGGTAGCAGGAAGGCGCTAGATGCAGGCCGCTACCAACCGGCCATTATTGTGGAAATCATTGGGGGAGGCCTAGTATGTTCAGCAGTGGACGTCCTATGGCTGAAATGATGATGATCTTCCTCCTGCAGTGAAGCCTAAATTACCTGACAGGTCTTTTGATGCAAATATGGATTTGATTTTATTTAGAGACTTGCATTTATCATTATAATTTATAGCGCAATGTCGTACTTTAGTTTTCGTAGACACTCGCCAATACTAAATCGTGCAACATACAAATTGAAGGAAACCACACGATCGATCTAGCCAAAAAGGTAAAAAAGATGTCATGAATCTTATCTATGAAGTGTCACCCTACTCCATCGCTCAGAACCGATGTTCGTTGACCTTTGACGATGTGATAGCATATCGGTGAAATGTGAATGAAGGTATAGACGACAGTTATTGATCTTGAAAATGACTTTTCATATTTTCCAAATCTCAGTAGCTAAGTTCAGCGATACTGGGTTAGGTTAGAATTAACCTGTTTTTCAGAATCTCTGACAGTAAACAGTCTCAAAAGATTTACAGGGGCAGGATTAATCTTGGATATAAGGAAAATTACCAGCTGAAAGTGCTGAAACCTTTCTCGGCGATTCCGCCCAGTATTTTTATACTAAGCCGTTCACTCACCAACTTAACCTCGCCTCATGCTTGTGTACTTACAACCTGGACTTCGTAATTGGACTCTGACTTCTATCTCACCTCAAGTTTTAAGTAAGCAATTAAGTAAAGACTAAAATAAAACGAGCGTACTAATACCCTAAATGTGATTCTTGAGTAGCGACATTTACCTACGTTGCATCTAATTTACAGTAGCAATAGTTTTTGAGCTTTTATTATGAAGTAATTATTTCACTCTTAGTTTATTTATTTATTTATTTATTTATTTATATAAGGCACAGCTACAGAGAACAAACAATAACAATACAATTAACACAACAACATAGCACAATATTAAGTCTGAACTGCGAGTTCAGCGGTACTATAAAAAATTAAATAAGTTACAACTCCTTTCTCAAAGTAAACTATTATAGTACGCAAATAAACCTGTTTATCTCATAATAACCTTGAGTGTCGGTCAAAATCAGAATAATATGGATGAGAAAATAAAATCATCAATCTAATCATTTTGTCCAAAGATTACATTTTTACATACTTATCTTACTCACGAGTTTAGTTGTAAAATAATTGATGCTGAAAATGTGTCATACTATTGTGTAGCATGACTCTGCAACAGAAAATATAGAGATGTATTTATGACAAAAAAATTATTGTTCTTACAATCAAAACAACTGAAATTGTAGATCCTACTCAAAGACAAATAATAAGTATTTCCAAGTCACTATAGCCCTAAATAAGCGCAAAATCAATTTAAACAGGTGCTTTTTATTAGAATCGGCCTGATTATAACTTTCCATCAGGTGAGATGCAGGCCAAGAGCTTCCTCGTTGTGGATAAAAAATATAGTGTAGTAGTACTTACTACTACGTGTAAAATAGAGAAATATTTCTGGAAAAAGATGTGCTTATTATAACGATAAATGAGGTTGAATTTGGGAAAACCATCACATCGCGTGAATAAAGTAGAACTCTGTAGTAGGGGAACCTGTTGTACTTAGGCCAGTTTTTCGAATTTTGATGTTTTGAAAAATAATGGTGATAGTTAAACTTGCCTAGTGCAGTTATATTTAAAGATCATTTAATTAACTACATAATTCATTCATAAAATTGTATATAATTTTAAAAATTTGGGCATACTAGCTGCTAGAAAAAAAAAAGGGAAAAGTGTCCTAGGTACAACAAACCAGATGTACCTTGGACCGTGTACGTTTTACCTATTTAAATTTAAATAAATGCTTATATTCGCTTCAATTTGTTAATTTTCTGTTAAATTTTTATTTGAAATACCAATTATTACAGTTATTGGCAACAATATCTAAGTGAAAGTATTTTTTAAAAAAGATCCTCATCCATATTTTTTGTACTAATTATTTTTCACAATTTTTTGGCAACAAATCACTTAAGTTTAAGCCGGCTCTCCAGTCCATGTTTACCCTTACACAATCAACAAAAATATGACAATATTCAACATTTTTTCTTGAAAATTTTGTTGAATGTTGATATGTTATGTCGTGTAGGACAAAATACGCGCTGGAGTGGCTTTAACTTGCAATCTAGTTTTTTTTATTTCTTATCATTTAACTTAAATTCTAGCAAAATATCCATTAAAACCGCTTTATCAACAAAAATAATCTTAAAAAAGTCATATGAAGATACATTAAACGTAAATTTAAAAAAACATTAGATATTAAAAATATATATATCAAAAACAGACTTTAAATTGCTATTTTGAGGTCTTCGGGGCATTGTTTCTATAACAGTATAATATGTTTGTTTTTTAAGGACTCATTATTACACAAACATAACGTATATTTTAAGAAAGTAAAGAAACAAGAAAAGATTATACTATCAGAAGAATTCAGTATGAAGTTAATAAAACAAATTCATGAAGATATGTGTCATATAGGTATTAAACAAATGCAAAAGAAGATAGGAAAGTTTTATACAGCGAGGAATTTAACAAAGAATATTAGCGATTTATGCAAAAAGTGTGAAATATGTATAAAAAATAAGACAAGAGGACAAGTTAAGTATGGTTTAATGTCGCACTTAGGTCCTGCTTCTAAACCATTTGAAATTGTGTCAATAGACACGATAGGAGGATTTGGAGGGTCTCGATCAACGAAAAGATACTTACACCTGTTAGTGGATCACTTTACTAGATACGCGTATATAGTGACTTCGAAGACACAGAGCGCAAGAGACTTTATAAAGCTGATAAATAACGTTCCTTATTGTAATGAAATTGGCATGGTTCTTACAGACCAATATCCTGGAATCAACTCGAAGGAATTTAAGGATTTTTTAAGTGGAAAGTCAATTACGCTGCTTTTCACCGCAGTTAATTCGCCTTTTTCAAATGGACTTAACGAAAGGCTGAACCAAACACTAGTAAATAAAATAAGATGCAAGATTAATGAGAAACCAAATACAACAGCATGGACAACAATTGCTCATAACTGTGTGAGTAAATATAATGATACTGAACATACAGTTACTGGCTTTGCGCCGAGATACCTGCTGGATGGTACAGATGTCTCGTTCCTACCAAATGAACTGAAATCAGGAAAAAAGACAGATGATTGGGTAAAGGACAAAAAAATTGCATTTGAAAGATCTATTTTATCACATGAATATAATAAGAGAGTGATGGATAGAGATAGAAAACATTTTAATTTTAATAAAGGTGATATGGTATATGTTGAAAATGGACATAAATTAAACAGGAAAAAATTGGATGAGCTAAGGATTGGACCGTTTAAAATTGAGGAAAGAATATCACAATCAATATACAAGATTAATACAGGTCATAAGAAGTTGGAGTCAAATCTTTTCCATATCACAAAGCTCATTCCTATTGCTACACAGGACGATGATGTGAATGTGTGATTACTTAGTGAAAATTTTCATGGGAAAATTTTCCTACCTAGGGGGGGAGATATAAGAGAATAAATCCTCTTTAGTTGTTTTTTTTAATTAGGCAGAGAGCAGAGCTACTTTTCTTTTTCATGTTGACATGTGACATGTGACATGTGACATCTGACATGGTGTTAATAAAGTGAAAATTTTATTATTTTAGAAGATGAAAATGTATTATAATTTTAAAGGAATCGACAAGCTGATGAATTAACTTTAAATGTCGTTTCTCTGTTGTGATTCGTAAACAATTTCTGTGTGAATAGATGATAGAATATTGTTGAAAATATCACTACTTTACAAGAGCAACACATTGTTTCATTTTGCCGATCCTAGATAATGAATGAATAGACTAATAGTCTTATAAAAAAATGGCTACTGGTTAACATCGCGCGTTAACTTGGAGCTAAAAATGGGTCAAAGTTACGCGTCGTGTCACAACGCTTATAATAAAAATGTACGAGCACTTGCACAAAATAGTTGTTACAACCAACCTTTTGTTGGGTCTAATTCTCGTCACTACACTGCACAACTTAAAATAATTACGTTTTTTGTCGGTAAAAACGTCCTGGTGACGTCACTTAAGCATTTTTCTTATACTGCGTGCGGTCGTTGCGCGTGCGCACAAAGGAATGAGACCGCTCGGACACCGAGCCCACAGCGTGGTAGGGGTGGGGTTGCCCGCTCTTTTGTTTTTTACTACTACTGCGCTGAATATTGTGTGCGGATTGGGTTGTCGTACAGGGGTACTACATGGTAAATTAAATCTCGGAGGCGAAAGCAGGATAAATTACAATAAAATTCTCATTAAAACGTAATGAAAATCAGTGACCAAGGTACATTGCTAGTTGGGTGGTCAAGGTACAACATTACGGCTACTTCACTTAATAAGCATAATAAACCCACTTCCATTTGAGCTTAGGATCTGAAACTCATATCGTCCAGTAGCTAGATACATAAAGATTATGTTCTAACTATAACCGTTTTGTCAAACATGCAACATTTTTCATAAATTGACATGAAGTAAACCTCCAAAATCTCACTGCGTCAGTGTAAAATATTAAATTAAGTACTATTTTTTCTTGTACTTGCACGGCGTCGGCGAATCTTAGCTAACTTCACGTTAATGTTGACAAATAACGTATGTAATACCCTAGACAACTTTTCATAAAACCGCATAATTTAAAAAATATATACAATTGTTTTAGGTACAACTCTGTCCAAGGTTCAACAGGTTCCCCTAAGTATAAGTTACACGACACACAATGATTTTCGCAATATCACAGAACATAATAATAGTGGCAATATGTATTCCTCATCCAGGATATGTTTTGTACCTGTAATTTCGAACTCGTCCTATGTTCTTCTGATTAATTTCGTTGCGGGTCCAATGACAGTTTAACTTTCCCCCGGGACAAACCTGACCTTCATTGGTTGGGTTTTTATGGCGGTCAAGCTGTAGATCCTGGCTACACAGGAGTTGCAGTGGTGGGAACGAGAGGTGGGAATAGTCCCGATATGTAATGTACAGTCACGGAATGAAAAG